GAGGAGGAGGAGGAAGAGGGGCAGGAGGAGGAGGAGGAGGACGACGACGACGAGGAGGTGCAGGTGAAAAATCCAGGCGGGACGGAGAGGCAGAGGCGCAGGTGCGGGCGGAGCCGCGCCGCCTGCAACGCCCAGCCCTGCCCGAGCCGCCACCAGGCCGCCGCCGACAGCGCACCCAGCGAGTGCCCGACGAGCACCTGCGCGGGAGTTGGCCAGGCGCCGGGTCCCCGTCGCATCGTGGTCGGCGGCGCGCGCGAGGCGGCACGGGGAGTGGAAGGCTTCTCAGGAAGAGGAGGAGGAGGAGGAGGAGGAGGAGGAGGAGGAGGAAAAGGGAGAGGGGGAGGAGGAGGAGGACGAGAAGAAGGAGCAGGAGAAGGAGGAGGAGGAGGATATTCATATTGAGTTTGAGATCCCCGTTGCGAAGCAAGTCTGCTTATCGCATAAAGCTGGGCCCCTGGTCGCTGCCTCAATGGGCCGGCCTTGCCATGGGTCTTGGGTGGGGGCCCTCGGCTAAGCGACGGAGGTACGCGCGGCCTGTACGAGTGTGGTGGATCGAACAGGGCTTGCCCAAAGAACAAATCTGTTGATCAGCAATGGCCCCACGCGAGCCGCATAACCACACTTTCACCTGCGATTGATCGTTAACGAGATGGGTTGGATGCAGCCAGCCCCCCGCTACATGTATACGCATCCCTTGGGTGGGGGCGTAAAGGGTCCCGTCCGCATGGACGAGCTCCCGGCAAGGGGTGAGCTTCCACTCCTCAGCTGTAGCAAACGACGCCGAGCTGAAACATCGCAGACACTTATGCTGACACTCCGAGGGCCGATGAGCCGAGCGAAAGGAGGAGAGCGCAGCAGCAGAGGGGCGGGGAGGGGTTTGGGGAGGAGGGGGTGCCCCCTCATTCGTTCCCTCCTTGGCACCCTGGGCAATTTCCTGCTCGGCGCGGAAGCAGTCGAGCGTGGCGCGAAGGAGCCGCATGCGCACATGCATGGCACGGCTTTCCTGCAAATTAATATCCTGCCGGACGGGCGCAGGAACACGGGCAAGGTTAGCGGCGGCTTCGGCCATGCTATCGGCAACTGTGTAAGCAAGAACATGTGTGCTGACAGCGCGCTGGGGCACTATGTCCTCGTCAATCTGGTGGCTATGCGTGCAAACAACTAGAATGATAAACGGGGGTCGGGCAAGCAGCTGTTCGCGGATGCGTGCCCACAAGTCGGCATCTGGGCCGCGGGGGCTTTCGCGCATTCTAGTGTGCCAACCAGCAGCGAGCGGCTCAAAATCAGTTGTAAACAACATGTATCCCGTGGAGCTCTCTACAGCCATACGAAAAGCGCGAATTTCTTCACGGGCGACCACTTGTCGAGTGCCACATAGGGGTCCCATTATGGAGGGTCGCATGGGCAGGGGCGCTAGTGAGTTAAAGCAGGCGGTCGCGAGGCCTGCGCATCGGAGCCTGGGCCATTTGGACTCAGGCCCGCCCGACGCGCCCACGGGCGCCGGCGGGGGCCCACTTTGGGCCCCATGCCCAAGACGCCCACCTACAACTCCAGGCACGCCGTCAGGCCACCACAGGTCCTGATCAACGGGCTCGGGGCCCCACGTCCAGGGGGCAGGAAGGAGACCTCGGAGCCAGGAGCCATCATCGCAACTCGCCTGGGCAAGGGCGGCAGGTACGTGTTGGGCGCTAGCCTCATTTGCTGGTGATCCCACGCTATTTTAGCACTCCCAGTATCGATGCAATAATGTTTCTGGACAGCGCTGGCTCCTGTCACAGATCTCGGTGCCTTGGAAAATGCGGATCAATTGCTTTTTCCTCGCTTTGGGCCAGCATCCCGCTGGCGCAATCGTCACCGTCGTCTCTGACAGTTTGCGCCCGCGTGGTGAGGCCTCGAGTTGGGACACCAGCTTCTGGAACGACTCCATATCCACCCCGGGCTCCAGCCCGCCACCAGCGTAGTGCTGGCTCGCAGTCTTCCAGCGCTTCTGGGATACTGATCGAAAGAAATCGCGCAATAATGTAGCATGTCGGTATTTGTGCACGTCGCCTGTGTAGGACTCATCTGGGAACAGCCACTGCTCTGTCGCGCCCGCGTCGGTGGTGTAGCTCCACTGGCGCGGCTGCTGCGGGTCCCAATCTGCTCTCATCAATGTTAAGATCACTGCGAAGATTGGGCCGCGAACGTTGCGAGACTGGTCATCAGTGTTAAGGTTGAGCGTCTGGGTGTATATATGATGCCAAGTTCTATGGATACCCATTCTGAGGTTGGGATGGTCGGGCTAGTTCGGTCCGGCTGGTGGCTTCTGCGCTGGGTCCTGGGCTGGGGCCTCGAGCTCGAGCACCGTCGTGAGACGGCGGCCCCTGCCAGTCCCCTTGCTTGCCTGCGTCAACCGTCGTCGCGCCAGCTGCATCTCGTCTGAAGACGCCGTGCACCTGATGGCCGTGCGAGCCCGCAGGGATGCCTCCACGCGTCTGTAGTTTGGCGGTCGCCTTACAGCGCCAGGTCGCTTTGGCGAACCTGCGGATCTTGGTCGACATGAGTTGGTGGTTGCACTCCCTCGTGCGTCGTGTGCTGCGGGCGTGGCGCCCGCGTCCGAAATCAACTCCCAGGTATGCCGCTTGTTTGCTTCTCTTGATCTGGTAAGCCCGTCTGCGGACTCCACTGATGATGGCCTGGGCATCCTCCGCGGTCGAGTTCATGATGATGGACTTCGGGGCAACCTTGAGGCCTCTCGTCTCCAGCAGCTGGCACGTATGGACGATGCAATCAATCATATGTTTCTTCACGGCGCTGCTGGATCCTGGCATCTTCTGGAACGAATCACCGGCCCATATTCGATGGCTCACTCTGGGATGCGCCAGTGGTATCTTCTGCATGCCGAAGTGGGTCAGGGCCTTTGCGAAGCGCGTCCCGCTTCGCAGACCCTGGACCGCTGACTGCGATGGTTCCTGGATATCTGTCGCCGCGCTCATCTGTTCCAGTGTCCGCAGGGAAATGCATTGGACCAGTTCTAGATATAAAACGATGGGCGGAACATCTGATGATAAAGCTGCCTCCACGAGTGGCAGCCAAGGAATAATCTCATACAGTGACGCAATGGCAAGCACTGCGTGGGAATGTGTTCTTCTGAATGAAAGCATGAGCAACTTCTTCATCTATGGCGCGCAGAAGCGCCTCCTGTAAGCACGGATTGCCTCTGATGGCCGCGCCCCAATCCGTGGTACTGCATTCATTCCTGAACGTGTGTCTCTCTGATCACCGACCAAACTCCTCCAAGCACCGAAACCATTCTTATCGCACGATTTGTTCCAGTCTTCTCGGGCGTGAGCTTGCCCAAGGTGACCTGCGTCTGGATCGGCCGCGTGAGTGGATCCTCGATTGCTGTGAATTGCAGCGCCATCTCCTGAAGTGCTGTCTGAGGAAGTCTCTGGAAGTCAACTGGCGTGACACCATCGACCCCTAGGCCTGGGGGGGGGGGCTTCATTCTGCCGGAGGCATCTACTATCACATCAGGAGTGGTACAAGGCAAAGAACAGTCGTCGGCTCCTGCGCGTATGCGGTTGAACATATCACGAGTCGTACTGAGGTCAATCTGTTGTGGGGCCCAGGGTTCGATGAATCTCTTCGCCTTCGCATCCATGGTCTCGACAGGGTGATACGCCACTCCAGTAGCTAACACATATTCGTTGTCAGGCAAATCAATCGGCATCAAAGACTTATGTAGACTGCCATTCGCTTGCGGTTCCTGGGTCCAGGATCTGAATTCTTGTAAGGACGCAGAAGTTGCTTGTCGTTGGACGCGGTCTGCCACTCGTTTAGCACAACGCTGCCAGGACTCAACGACCGCGACCGTCTCGGTGGCGCCCTTGGCTAGTAGATCTCGCCAAATTTCCCATGGTGCGTCTCGTTGTGGCCGAAGGATTTTTTGGACATGCCCAGGGGCCTCGTGGAGCTGCTTCGCACATGCCTGCGGTAGCCCTGGGGTTGGACAGAACCGTTGTTGCGCGCTGCGTGCCGTAGTACTCCACCCAAGACGGTCAGGAGCCTCGTCCACCACTGGGCACGTGCATCTCGTTGCCGCTGCTGGTGCCGATGGGCGACCACATGCACAGGCTGGACTTTGAACTGCGGTCCGTGGGCGCGGCGTGCACCCGAGGGAACCTGGCCGTGGTGTCGGCTGGTCGCGTGCTCAACTGAGGTGGCAAACGCAGCATGCATACCTGATATTGAAACGGAGCGCTTTCATCGAACCTACACTCTAAACAACCAGCCCCAGCCGCAAATCCGATCTCCTCTCGCGCGCGACGCCAGAGGTCGTCAGGGATGGCGAAACTTCGCATGGGAGTCGGAGCGCTGGGGCCAGTGTGAGTTCCTTCGGTCGTGCGGGAGGGCTCTTTAGGCTCTGGCCCTCGGGTGGCCGAATTATCACACCTGTTACTGTTACGCCCCCGCGGGAGCGATGGAGGAGGGCGCGGGTCCAGACCTCCGTCGGCACAGCCCTCGCCCTCCTTGTAGCGGAACGCAGGAGGAGGAACGCAGAAGAGGGAACGGCGGGGGCGTGACTCCGTCCACGAACGAAGCCCCGAGGGCCTCCAGAGCACCCCCCACAAAGCCCAGTGGGGCCCCAGGGGCTCCAGCGACCATCTGGGGGCACCCCGGGCCAGGGGCACTTCTGGCAGCACCCAACCTCAGGGCACCCGTCGTCGTCGTCGTCCTCCTCCACCTCCTCCTCCTTTTCCTCCTCCTCCTCCTCAGGCAGGGAGCGACGGAGGAGGGCGCGGGTCCAGACCTCCTCCGTCGGCACAGCCCTCGCCCTCCTTCTGGCGGAACGCAGGAGGAGGAGCGCGGAATCACAGGAAGGCGCGGCGGGGGCGCGCCCGGTGTCCACGGCGAGCCTCTCGGCTACTTGTACGAGCAGGCCGCCCCGAGCTAGATCGAAGGAGCGGCCCGAACAAAAAACAGAGCCCCTCGAAGAGCCCAACGTGGTCCTCCTTTCCGAAGGGGCCCAGGGGCCCGCGCACACACAGACACAGCTCCCAGGATTCTTCCCACTCCCCCATCTTCTGCCTTCTCGTCTCCCCCACCCCTACACTTGCCATAGTTGTTCTGATATCCTCCTGGCAGTCGACGATGCATTGTGTCTGTGTGGAGGAGGAGGAGGAGGAGGAGGAGGAGGAGGAGGGGGAGGAGGAGGAGGAGGACGAGGAGGAGTCTGTGTGTTTTTTTCCCCTCCCGAGTTCCAGCGTCTTGGCCGCAGCGGCCGCCGCGCGCCCCGAAGCTGGCGATTGCCAGGCGCGGGGCCCGAAAGCCGGCAGCGGCGGGGGGCGGGGCGGGATGCCCCGCGGGGGGAGCGAGGCCGGGAGCTCTCAGAGGGGGGCTCTCCAGAGGGCTCTCTGTGAGGAGGAAAAAACGATAGAAAACTTGAACATAAACTTGCTGCTGGTGATGATGCTGCTAAATGCGACGATTATGGTGATGTTGAGGGGGGGGAGGAGGAGGAGGAGTAGGAGGAGGTTGAGGAGGAGGAGGAGGGGGAGGAGGAGGAGGAGGAGGAGGAGGAGGAGGAGGAGGAGGAGGAGAGGGAGGAGGAGGAGGTGGAGTCTTGGAGGAGAGGAGGACGGGAGAGGGAGGAGCGAGGACGAGGGGCATGAGGCGGACTAGAGGGGGACGATCAATGCGGCATGAACATGCGACATCGGAGGTCCAGCGCGCATTCGAGAAATCCCCGCGGACCTCCGAGTCGTTGCGTTTATGTCATTGCTCGTTCCCCTGGACTAGGCGAGAGGAAACATAGACGAGGATGACCAGGACGATGAGGACCTCTCGCCTTCTTCCCCACAGCAGCCGAACGTCAAGCTGGTGCCTCATCGAGGATCCGTGCTGTCGCGTTCCAGTGCGCATTCCACCACTCGCGCGTCAGATGCTTCCCAACCTCGCATCTTGGACCGGTCTGTGCACACGCGCACTGGAGAACCTCCAGCATGGGCAAGGTTTGCCACGTGTCGTTGACCTTCGAGATCCCGAACACCCGCTTAGCCAGACAAAATCAGGATTCGAGGGGTGTGAGGGCTTTGCTTCAAGTTTGCGTCATATTCGATTACCAAGGGCAAACTAGAATAAGACGGGACTTCTCTGATTTGCAAGTGCCCAGGATCTCGGAACCTGAACGATGGCCACAGCGATGATTGGAATCAGCACGAGGCCCTGGAAGAACCTGGACTTGCCCAAGGCAGACGCCAAGCGCATGAGTTTGCTGTTCTCGCCCTCGACCTCGCCGAACGGGGCTCAACTCTTTCCTCCCTCCTTCTTACCTTTGTCCTCGTTGCTGCCCCTCTCCTCCTCCATCCTTATCCTCCTCCCTGCCTCCCTCCTCGCCCGACCTTGTCCAGCGGGGCCAAGTCCACGTTGTTCAACACCTCCTTAACGTGTTCCGGCACGAGCCAGTGGTAGAACAGCTCGGGCAGCTCAAATACAAATGCTAGCGCTACTGTGTTCATTAGCAGATCCACATAGGAATGCGTACAAGTAGCATACACAATTCCAACGGCAAGCATGTATACCAAATTCACAGTGCGTAATATCAAGACGCACCAACATGTAATACGATGCGCATGCGATATATCGGTAATCATCACGTGCTTCCCACAGCCACCACCCTGTTCAGCATGAGGCAGGGGGTCCTGACGGATACGTTTCCTGGACCATGCGCCCATCACTGGGACCAGCTTTTAATCCTGAATTGTGGTGCATGTCCTCGAAATGCCCCAAAAGGGCGAAAAAGGCGGAAGACCGCAGAAACCCTTTCCATCAGGACCCCTTTCCTCCATGGCAGCCTGTCCAGAAACAGGACTGTCGCTAAAGTTGCCGTCTCTCCAATCTCTGATGGTATCAGCAACTGTGCCCTTCAAGACCATCCAAGACAGTTTCGATCTCGGAATCCTGAGAGGATTGTTGCCGTTCGAAGGATAATGCACGACAAAATATGCCATGGTAAACACAGACTCCAGTTCTTTGCTCACCGTCGCGAACCACAGGACGAGCATAATCCCCATGAAAAACCTGAACGTCAAAGAGTGCACCAGCTCATAATCAGACACCTTGACGTACCTCACCGAAACGGCCCTCAGCGAGTCCCTCTGGTTATGCGGGCTCGTGGTGAGCGGGCCCGCAGAGTACACGCCCGCCCCGCACTGGCTCCTGAAGTTATGTCGGGCCTGCCCCCCTACAGAGGGATTTTCGACGACAAATAAAACAATACCCCAAAAATACCCCCAAAAGGTCAAACAACACTCAAAAAAATAGTCCCCCTGCAGGGGGACAGGCCCGACATAATCCTGAAACTCTGGCGATGGAGCGCATACGTCACTGGCAGCGTCTTGTCGCACAGGCCCCCGGGCGCCAGCAGCTTCCCGCAGTACTCGACTGCGCTCGCGAGGCTCCAGTCTCCCGTGGCAGACGGCCCCAGCGCGCCGTCGAACACCCCGTCGTGCACCAGGTCCCCGCAGCGAGCGGGGTCGACCACGGCGCATATCACCGCGATGCCCTCCCAGAGCTCGAAGTAGTCTCGCGGCACTGCGAGCATGGACTCGACCTCGTACGGCACCTTGGCCTGGCGGTCTGGCTACCGGGGCGCGAGCCTGTGGATGCGCGATCCCGTGGACACGCTCCGCGCGGGGGATTCGCGCACGGCCGCCCCGTGTCCACATGGCGACGGGCACGTTTCCCGCCCGCCGGCCCGCTTCGTCGTCAGCTCGAGCTCCCGCCTGACGACGCTGTCCTCCGCGATGCCCAGGCAAACCGTCCTCAGCAGCTCCACCTGCGACAGCTGCAGCCGGCAGCCCAGGTTCGCGGCGTCCGCCACGGCCTCGCCGCGGCTGCAGAACCCTGAGGTCATCTTCCCGCCTCGGCCCCACATAGCAGATGCACACGGGATGACGCCACGTGTTTGCTCGTCCCCGCACTGCGGATCGCGAGTCATGCAGCCTGAGATCGGCGCGAGAGGGCGGACGTCCCGACAAAAACCGCCTTGAATTGATCTTGGCTCCTCGTTGTTTCTGGCCCCCACAGCTTTCGACTCGCCCCACAGGCGCAGCACGAGGCTGTCTGGAGTCAGTCCTGGGTGTGCGCGAGCGATCGGTGCGGGCTGAGGTGCGCGCGCGGGGAGCCCTGTCGGGCTCTGGCGTGCTTCCCTTCGGGGCGGCATGGCGCATGCCAGCTCCTGCTCTGCTCCACTCCCTGCCCCCCCCCCCCGCCCCCGATCCTCGTCGTGGCTCCAGAGCCCGTCCCCGTTGGCGTCCAGCTCGTGCCAACGGCCGATAAGCTGGAACGACGAGGGGCCACAGTCCAGGCCGTCCTGGTCCTTGCAGAGGAGCCCAGCATCGGATCGAAACAAAAGGACCGGCGATCGACATGAATCGGATCGGCGGAAATCGGCGGCCGAGCCGGGGGAAAGCGAACCGGCGGGGACCAGCAGGCCAGTGGGCCTCAGCCGAGAAAGCGGGCCCCAGATCGGAATCCGAGGTCGAATCGAATCGGAAGCGAAAGTCAACGAAGTCGAGCCGGATCGAATAAGAGGAGCCGAGGTGACCTGGGAGGGAGTGGGGAGGAGGAGGAGGAGGAGGAGGAGGAGGAGGAGGAGGAGGAGGAGGAGGAGGAGAAGGAGGAGGAGGTGAGAGGAGGCAGGAGGCGGAGGATGAGGAGGAGGAGGAGGCGGAGGAGCAGGAGGAGGAGGAGGAGGAGGAGGCGGAGGAGGAGGAGGAGGAGGCGGAGGAGTGAGCCCTGCCTTGTGGCACATGGCGTCCAGCCGCTGCGGCTTGATCACCGCCCGCCTGGTCTGAGCTCCGCGGTCGGTCGGTGGCCGCCCCCCGCGCGGGGCAGGCCCCCGCGGCGGCCGCCCAGGGCCGGGGGCGGCCGCGGGGAGCCCGGGGCGCCAGGGAACGTGGGGGCGTGCAGAGGGCCCCCTCCCCCCGATGCGGGGTCGAGGGCGAGCACGAGGAGGAGGAGGAGGAGGAGGAGGAAGAGGAGGAGGAGGAGGAGGAGGAGGAGGAGGAAGAAGAGGAGGAGGAGAGGAAGTATGGGGGAGGAGGGAAGGCTTCTTAGAAGGAGGCTGCTTCTCAGAAGACGCGGGCCTTGTGTCCACAGAGGAGGCCCGCGCCTTCTTCTCAGAAGCAACCTCCTTATAAAAGGCATTTCCCCCCTCCCCCTGTACCCCCCCTCTCCGCGTGGCCGGAAGGAAGGGGGGGGGTGCCAGCGCATCATGGCCCGAGGCAGGTGTGAGGACGACAGGGGGTGGGTCAGGGAGCGCACTGGGAGGAGAAGAGGGGGCCATGACACCTGGGAGGTCTCGTGGCCCTGGTCATGATGTCCACGCCCCCCTGGTCCCCGCTCCTCTCCTGGACGCCCCCGAAAGCTGCCAGAGGAGGCGGCTGAGCCCATACCTCCAGGCGCCCTCTCGGTTCTCACCCCCTGGTCCGCGTCGCGCCTCCTGACAGCCGCACCACCCTGGTGCCCGCACCACTCGTGGGCGCACCCGAGAGCTACCAGAGGAGTGCCGGCCGATCCCACAATTCTGGAGAGCGCGCCTCTTCATCATCGACGATGACGGGCGTCATGGGAGGGGGGGGCGGGGGGGGTATGAGGTAACAACACCCCCCCGCCGTGCCGCTCGGGCACCACAGCCGCGCCCGCGCGCACGACGACGATGAGCGACGAGCGACCAGCGACGACGACGACGACGCGAGCAGCATGTAGGTGGCGATCTGCCCCACAGCGCCTGTGTACACCACAGTGATCGCGTGCACCACCGCGCTCGTGTACACCACAGCGCCTGCGTACACCGCAACAGCCGTGTGCAACGCAGCGCCTGCGTACACCAGTGCTTGCGTGCACCACACCGCCGGTGTACATCACAGCGAACGTGTACACCGCAGCAGCCATGTGCAACACAGTGCCTGTCTACACCACAGTGGTTACGTGCACCGCGGCGCCTGTACACACCATAACACACCACAACATCCGCGTGGGACGCAACGCTGGTGTACACAAGAGTGCCTGCGTGCGCAGGACAGGTAGAAGGAACATGTCGGTGAGGATTTGCTGCGCAGAGCTAGTTGCCACGCCAAGGAAATGCTGAGAATAGAATGCGGCGTTTTTCCATCCTCACTCCTCCGCCTCCGCCTCCTCCTCTTCCTCCTCCTCTTTCTCCTTCTCGTCCTCCTCCTCCTCCTCATCGTCCTCCTCCTCCTCCAATTCCTCCTCGTCCTCCTCGTCCCTCACCCTTCCCCCCTGTCGTGCGGGTCGGCACTACAGCGCACGTGCGCGTCTCAGCGTGCACCGCAGAATGGTCTATTCACTGGTGCCGTGCTGAGTGCACGCAAGCATTGCGGTGTACACTGGTACTTTTTGCGTACAACCGATGTGGTATACGCAAGCGCTGTGGTGTACACGAGCGCTGTGGTGCAAGCAGGCACTGCGGCACACACTGGCGCTGTGATGCACGCGGCTGCTGTGGTGTACATGGGCGGTGTGGTGTACACGCGCGCTGTGGTGCACGCAGGAATTATGGTGTACACAAGCGTTGTGGCGCAGATCGCCACCGACATGCTGCTGTTACTCGTCCTCGGAAATTCGTAGGCAATCCCAAACGCCGCCGGCGCAAAACGTGATGTCATCGGCCCCCTTCCCCACCCCCAGATGATTGCCGTCATCGGCCCAGAAAAGAAAGACAGGTTCCAGCTGCGTCCGCTCGCACGACGACGATGAGTGAGTGACGAACGACGAGCGACGAGCGACAACGACGACGACGACGACGACGTCGACGACGACCACGACGACGACGAAGACGACGACGACGGCGACGGCGACGACGACGACGACTGCGGACCAGACTCCCATGCGGACACCTATTTGGATCACGATGCGCACGGCGGCGGTGCCCGGAACGCACTGGGGGGGGAGCGTTACGCCATAGGGGAGTGGGGACCAGGGGCCATGACGCCCGTCGTGCCCCAAGCAATACAAAAACGGGCTCCTGGGCGTCCTGACAGTGTCCACCGTGCCGTCTGGTCGGGCGCGGAGCTGGGTGCACAGCCATCGTGCTACCATTAGGAACGCGGAACGTTCCTGGTCAGAGGCCAGCCAAGGCCGCGAGCAGGTTGTCCGACGTGGATCTGAGGAACTGCCTCAGAAAGCGGAGCCCCTCCGGAGCCCAGACCGATTATTATCTAGGCGGTCTTGACGGTGTCCAGTGCCACCTGGTCGGCCGCGGAGCTCGGTGCACCGGCACCCCCTGCCTTCCAAAAGGTGCACGTAAGACACCGGATCTTCTGTGCACCGCCTTCCTTGGCCGACCAAACGCCGTGGTGCTTACATCGCGGGACCCCATCGAGGCCGACTCTGGGCCACACGAAGAAGGATGACAACATCGGTTCTGGGGAGGGGCTCAAGAGACAAGAGCACCAAGGGCCCGACGGCGTGACTTTTGCACCACGTGGGCCCCCTCGTGAACCCGCTCTTCAAGCCGAGTTGGCTTTGGACGGCCCTGGGGCCCGGTAAGGGCCCAGAGGAGGCAGGAACTGATGTCTGGGAATTCTCGGGTCGACATCCACCAGGCCACTCCTCCACCGCTCGTTTACAGCGACCACAGCGAGAACACCGGAAAGACCCTCGCTGGTGGAATCGAATCTCCCGCGAATGCAAAGCAACATACATACGGGGGGGAACGGGCCTCCTCCTCCTCCAAGTCCGCCTCCTTCTTCTCCCCAAAGATCTGGAGCTGTTCCCTGAAACCTTGAGTGGCGGACGCATGGTGGCGGTGGAATTGGCGCCTTCAGTGGAGCCCCCTATGGGGCCACGAAACGTGTGAGGGGTGGGCGGAAATTCGTGTGGGGGACGCATGCGGGCGGTGGCACTGGGGCCTTCGGTGGAGCGCCCTATGGAGCCACGATGCGAGTGAGGGGTGTGCCGAAATGGGTGTGGGGGACGCATGCTTGCGGTGGCACTGGGGCCTTCGGTGGAACTCCATATGGGGCCACGAAACGTGTGAGGGTTGGGCGGAAATTGTGTGCGGGGGGCGCATGCTGGCGGTGGCACTTGGGCCTCGGTGGAACTCCCTATGGGGCCACGAAGCGTGTGAGGGGTGTGCCGGAATGGGTGTGGGGGACGCATGCTGGCGGTGGCACTGGGGCCTTCGGTGGAGCTCCCTATGGAGCCACGAAGCGTGTGAGGGTTGTACCGAAATGGGTGTGGGGGGGCGCATGCGGGCGGTGGCACTGGGGCCTTCGGTGGAGCTCCTGTGAGGCCACGATGCGAGTGAGGGGTGTGCCGAAATGGGCGTGGGGACGCATGCGGGCGGTGGCACTGGGGCCTTCGGTGGAACTCCATATGGGGCCACGAAACGTGTGAGGGTTGGGCGGAAATTGTGTGCGGGGGGCGCATGCTGGCGGTGGCACTTGGGCCTCGGTGGGACTCCCTATGGGGCCACGAAAACGTGTGAGGGGTGTGCCGAAATGGGTGTGGGTGACGCATGCGGGCGGTGGCACTGGGGCCTTCGGTGGGACTCCCTATGGGGCCACGAAACGTGTGAGGGGTGTGCCGAACCGGGTGTGGGCGACGCATGCGGGCGGTGGCACTGGGGCCTTCGGTGGAACCCCCTATGGGGCCACGAAGCGTGTGACGGGTGTGCCGAACTGGGTGTGGGAGACGTATGCGGGCGGTGGCACTGGGGCCTTCGGTGGAGCTTCCTATGGGGCCACGAAACGTGTGAGGGGTGTGCCGAAATGTGTGTGGGGGACGCATGCGGGCGGTGGCACTGGGGCCTTCCGTGGAGCTCCCTATGGGGCCACGAGACGTGTGAGCGATGTGCCGAAATGGGTGTGGGGGACGAATGCGGGCGGTGGCACTGGGGCCTTCGGTGAAGCTCCCTATGGGGCCACGAAACGTGTGAGGGGTGTGCCGACATGGGTGATGATGCTGGTGATGATGACGGTCGTGATGGTGAGGATGACGATGACGATGATGATGACGATGATGATGATGATGATGATGGTGATGATGATGATGATGATTATGATGATGATGATGCTGATGTTGATGATGATGATGATGACGCTGATGGTGGTGATGATGATGATTATGATGATGATGATGATGATGATGATGATGATGATGACGATATTGAAGATGATGATGATGATGATGATGATGATGATGATGATGATGATGATGATGATGATGATGATGATGATGATGATGATGATAACGGGAGGAGAGAGGAAGGGGGAGGAGGAGGAGGAGGAGGAGGAGGAGGAGGAGGAGGAGGAGGAGGAGGAGGAGGAGAGGAGGAGAGGAACGCGGGGCGACGTCTCTTCAAACGAGGACCCAACACCACAGGATGGTTGGGAAATAGTCAAACAAGTACCTTCACAGATGCAAGAATGGTCAAAACATCGTCCCCTGACTATTTTGTACTATTCTTGAATATTCCTCCGGACAGGCCCGACGTAACTTTAGTAAAACGTGACATTGTGAAAACGACCTCGGGCCCAAACCTGGCGGGCGCGAGCCTGGGAAATGACGGCCGCGGCGCCCTCCCGAGAACCGAAAACGGACGATTCACTGATCGACGTGTCAGGGTGGGGATTCTGCCCACCCCCGACATCACTTGAGCAAGCCAAACACGAACCCCGACGTGTGGGAAACTTGATAGCCCTGGGGCACACAAACGGACCCCTGGAGACCAGCCGAGCTGAGAGAAACGCGCCCCGAATGAAGCACACCCTCCGCCCGAAATCAAGGCGGGGAACACGCATGGATCAAGAAGACGCGGCGTCGGACTTCCAGGCTCTTGGCCTGCGGCGCTTCCCGGCGCCACTGACCCTCAGGGTGGCCAGACCGACCACGGTTCTGGCTCGCGGCTTCCAGACCGCCGACGCAGCACGCGAACTTCGCCGAGCACGACACGTCGTGGCAGCACTCCCCGCCCTGGTCGCCCGCCAGACGTGTGTCGATCCTCGGGGAACCACAGACGGCACAAGCACAGGCATTCGGAGGTCCGCGCGGCCTCCTTGGCTCAGCGCTGGCCACCTCTCGGCGGAGCCTCTGGCGCCACCCCTGGCGTGCCTCGCGCGCCAGGGACAGTTGGGGTCCAGCGCCGTTGCAAGAAGTTCGCGCGGACATGTGAACATCGGTTTATTCGAATGGTTTGTTGCTTGAGCTCCTTTCGATCCACCGCAAGAAAGGGGGGAGCGTCTCCCATTGGAGCCACGCCTCGCTCTCGTTCCTGGACGTCAGCATGCCCGAGCGAAACTGCTGAAGGCTCTGCTGCAATATGTACGAGCCGGCGACCTGGACGATGTATGCCTGCATCGCGGCCGTCATGAACAGCAAGAGGACTGCGACAAAGACGTCGCAGGAATAGTAGCTCCCGTTCCGAATCCTGTGCAGCTCGGGGTAGACGATGGCGAACCTGTAGATGCTCTCCCTGTCGCACCCGCTCGGGCACGCGCCTGGCTCGGGGCACTCCTCGCCCGGGTCGCTGGCGCGAGCCCCGCGCGTATCCTCGCCGCGGGGGGAGTAGAAGTTGCCATGCCGCCCTCCTCGGTAAGGGCGGAATGAGGTGCGGGGAGAAGGAGAAGCAGGAAGAGGACGAGGAGGAGGAGGAGGAGGAGGAGGAGGAGGAACAAAACCGTGCTATGCGATATCGCATGTTCTCCGGCGACGTGTGGCCCGCGGACCTCTCGACCGCTTCTTGAGGGCACCGGGCCCGAACCTGGCCACGGCAGGCAAAAAGCGGAAGAAAAAACAGCCGTCTACGCCAACACTTGAAGGCAACTGTCCTTCAAGCTGTAGCGGTCCCCGCACCCCCTCCCCGACACCGCCCTCGCCAGTTCTTCGAACAGCGCGCGGCCGTGGCCACGAGGGACCCCCTCCCCCCCGAAGCCCACGACGGGCCCGAGCAACTCCAACCTGAGGGCGAGCGTAGGCTCTGCGACCGAGGCCCGTGCCCTTGCTGCTGCCCTGGCCCCTCGACACCCCCGAGGACGAGGACGAGGCCCCCTGCACGCTCCGCGCGGGTGCACGGTGCACAGCAGCAGCAGCAGCAGCAGGGCCTCGCCTCGGACACCGACCTATCGAGGGGAGATTTCCGCCGCGCGCCCCCCCTTCCGTGCGCGCCCAGCAGGGGCTGCGACTCGGTGGGGCATGGCCTGGCGAGGGGCAACGACGACAGGGCGGGGGGGCACAGCCCAGGAGGGGGAACGCCGAGCTGAGGTCGACGAGACGCAGCCGATGGATCGGCGATGGGTCGCCCAGAGCGGGCCCGCGGGTTCCTAGGCGGGCCTGGACCATCGAGACCCCGTCGGCGCTGGATGGGCGACCGGGGGTCGATGCGTCTCCCCGCTGAGTCGAGCCCATCCCCGTCCATGGTGGTCGTCGGCTTGTAGCTCGCCGGCGGCCGCTCGGGACGGTACGGGCGCCCCCGGAACGCTCTCGGCGAGGCGCAGCTGCTGGAACGCACCCCGAGGCTGGAAAACCGCCAGAAACCGACGAACATGTTCGAAAACACTCTGGAACCTCGGTGCCGACCGAGCAAGTCGTCCCCCCGTGCCCTTCCCCCAGCTGCTGCCCCTGACCTGGGAGACGACGGCGGCGGGGTGTGCGACGGCCGCGGCTGGCCCGACCCGGCGCTGGGCGCCAGCGGGAGGCGGCGGTCGAGCTCGCTCATGCTTGGGCCCGCTGCGCGCAGCGGGCCAAGACCTCGAGGGGCGACATCTTTGCGAGGAGAGGGTTTATCCCCCTCTTCCTCCTCCTGCTCCTGCTCTTGCTCGTGCTCCTCCTCCTCCCCCTCCTCCTCCTCCCCCTCCTCCTGCTCCTGCTCCTCCTCCTCCTCCTCCTCCTCCTCCTCCTCCTCCTCTTCCGCCTAATCCTCCTCCTCCACCCCCTCCCCCTCCTGCCCCTCCTGCCCCCTCCTCCTCCTCCTCCTCCTCCCCTCCTCCTCCTCCTCCTCCTCCTCCCTCCTACTCCTCCTCCTCCCGCATGCTCCTCCTCCTCCTCCTCCTCCGCCTCCTTCTCCTCCTCCTCGTGATCCTGATAAGGAACCCTTGGATAAGGATTCCAGGGTCTGCAAGCCAGTGCCGCCGCCCTTATCGGATCAGGGATCCTCGGGGCTCCTCTGTGCGTTAGGAACCCTTGGGTAAGGAACCCAGGGTCTGAGAGCCAGTGGAGCAGCAATTGAGGCCTGGCCATGGACATTGCCGCCGCCCTCATCGGATAACGAATCCTCCAGAGTTTGACACCTCCTGGGCACATTCCTGCACAAACGCCCCCACCGTACCCATGACCACCGCCTGGGGGATCGATCTTCGAGGACCTCGGCAGGCAGTAGATATTGCCATGTTCGCCCCCCTTCGGGGGACAGAGTATAGCCACATCCACCGCCTGCCGAATTCCTCAAAGATCGCCCCCCCTGTTGCCGCCAAGAGACCCCCAGGAGGCCCCCATTACCGCAAAAAAATCCCCAAGACGCTCCTAGAGGCCTCCAAACAGCTTCCAAGAGGCACCCGGGGAGACTCTGAGAGGCAACTCGCCTGGGCATTGTTTCTGGATGGGCTGGCTGGTGGGGTTACTTTTGTTATACAGCCGCAGGCGGAAGCGCCAGCGGCGGGAGGTCGCGGGCGGGCTACGGCCGCGACTAAATTGCCTAACGCGCGCGGGGCCGCGGATCAGGCGGCGGGGGGCGGCAGCGCCCAGGGCGGCAGAGCCGATGTGCAATCCAGGGAGACTGAGACAGCCCCTGGACGGGCATGCAACGGTGCATCCAACGAGCCTGAGGACAGGCACCGAGGAGACCAAGCGCAGCCAAAATGGCGCGTGAAGCGATCCCCAAGTCCAGGTGCGAACAGAAAGGAACGTGCCCGAGGACATCGATCCAGGAAGCCTGACAGGTAGTACAGACTGACTGGAAACATAAGTCCAGCGGAAAATCCCGACGGCGACACCAAGTCGCGACGCCAGAACGCGCATCCAGGGTGTGGAGCATGCTGACAAAAGAACCTTCCACAACTGAGATGCGTCAGCCCAGATCCAACGAGTGGAAGGGCGCCGTAGTGCACGATACAGGGTCGACAACGCGGCGTGTGCACATCCAAAGTGTCTCAGTGCTACCCAAAACGAGTCGGATAGCACCCGAGGGACGAGACATCGTATACCCAATCCCTCAGAGCCACTTCGATCCAGGGTCACGGCGGAAGGCCGTTCAGCATTTAAGAGTTCCCGAGGACATCGATCCAGGGAGTCTGACGGGTAACACAGACTGACTGGGGACATAAGTCCAGCGGAAAAAACTGACGGCGAATCCGAGTCGTGACGCAAGAACGCGCATCCAGGGTGTGGAACATGATGACAGGAGAACCACTGGTGGGGATACGCGAAGCGTCCAGAATTCCCGAAATATCAACCCCCTGTTGCCGCACAGCTTCACGCATCGCGCCACGCGCGCGCGCGCGTTCACCTCCACACCCTTGCGAGGCCGAGCCCAGAGAAAGGTAGCTGTCCAGTCCAGGCAATGACGCGCGACACGCAGTCATCTTCGCGCCTCTGGCGGGCACCGCCTTCTTTTGTTTTCGTTATTGACGGTGCTTTTTTACCGCGTGTTGGCATGCTGCTTTGGGCCTCGGGGGGGGGCCGTCGCGGCCGCGGCTGGGCGCTCCTCGAAAGACTTGTGGCGACGGCTTCCAGGAAGGGGACTGGGGAACGAGTGGCCCCTGGTAGATTCGCAACGCCTCCTTCTGTTACGTTGCACGGACCTGGATCTGATGATCGTGGCGTTCAGAACCTCCTCCTCCTCCTCCTCCTCTTCCTCCTCCTACTCCTCCCCACCTACAGGGTGGGCCCTCTCCCTCATCCGTGTTTCGGTGCAGATCGTCTCCGCGCCTCGTCTCCGTCGTCGTTGTCGGCGTCGTCGTGGTCGTGGTGCGTGTTGCTCTGCTCGGCACTTCTTGCCCTCATGCAATGACAAACCAGCACTCCTGGCGAAACGCGGTCCAAGCGCTCTTTGAACTTGAACCGGTGCCAGCGCACACCCCCAGTGCACGGCACCGGACCCTCTGGGATCAGCCGCTGCCCAACGCCTGGCCAGAGCGCCTCGCATCCAAACAGCCCGACTTGGGCGTCCTCCTGTCTCCTCCCTCATCCTTCCCCTTTTAGACCCGACAACGCAAATCAGTTTCAACATCAAAGGGGCCCACGGACACACAAATAAATAAGCACACATCCCGGGATCTCCCATCTTTATATATATATATATATTCTGGAGTTGCGTCTTTCCCACCACTTCCCAACTTTTTTCCGGGGAACCGACGAATCTTTGTGTCTGTGTGTATGTGTGTGCGTGTGTGTGTGTGTGTGTGCGTGTGTGTGTGTGTGCGTGTGTGTGTCTGTGTGTGTGTGTGTGTCTGTGAGTGTGTGTGTGTGTGTGTCTGTGAGTGTGTGTGTGTGTGTGTCTGTGTGTGTGTGTGTTTCCCCCTCCTGCACAAAATCACGACCAGAGCCCCAAAGCCCCATCTCCCTGCGGTCTGCCCTGCGCCGGATCGATCCGCGAGGGCCCCGAGGAGCCCGCAACGGTGAGCACACCGTGGCGCGGAGCAGCTGCGACGCTTGGCTACGGTCGGGCCCAGGCCAGCGAGACATCCTTCGAGCACCTGAGAGCCTCCGCCGGCCAACACACAAGCGATGCACAGGAACACCCGCCGAGCAGGAAGACCACTCGGGTGCCCTCCCCGAGCCGACCTCGATCTTTCACCTCGGTCCGACTGTATCTAGGGGAACAAAAAGTGACATGAACATGAAAACTCGGAGGTCTGCGCGGATTTCTCGGATCCGCGCTGGGCCCCCCTGGCGGCGCCTCCGTCGCCGCCCCTGGCGCGCTCCGCGCGCCAGGGAGGGGGGCCCAGCGCCGATCTGAGAAATCCGCGCGGACCTCGGACTTTTTATGTTTATGCCACTTTTTGTTCCCCTCCCTGATCCCCCTCCTCCCTCCCCTCCTTTGGCCCCGCGAGCGCTCCCGCGCGCGCGCGGGGCGGACGGAGGGGTCGGGGGCGTCCAAGAGGGGAGGTGCGCAGATCGCGGCCCGAGGCACGTGCGCGGCCCACGGCGGGGCCAGGGGACGTCTTGAAAGAGAACGAGATCTGGGCATGCACTCCGGGGTATGCCATGGCCCCGTCCATGATATCCACCTCCTTGCCGTCGCTCGGACGTCCATTTCCCGTGCATTTTTCGATTTCGTGCGTGTTGTTTTTGCTCGATGGTCCAGGATGGTCCTCGATGGTTCTCGCCGAGAAAAAATGCACACGTCCGAGCGATGCCAAGCCTCCCCCTTGTCCTCAACCCCCTCTTGGACGCCCCCCAAATCGGGAGATAGCGGAGCTGGGGGCGGGCGGGACCTCCTCGTGAGGCGCCCCGAGCCCTGCGAATGCGGCCGGGCGCACTTCCCGCAAGGGGAGGAGGCGCTTCATTGGAGGTTTGGTGCGCGGAAGTCCTGAGCCGGAGGAGGCTGCAGAAGGTCGGACAGCTGCGTGTTCAGACACAACCATTGACTGCATGCAAGAGTGGCCGTATAGAAGCAAGGGTAGTCGTTGCTGCGAGGCTTGCCGGTCATGCGGTGCGATGCGATGCGATAATTAGTACAATCATCGTGCTGCAATTCAGTCGGGCCTGTAGAGGAATACTCAAAAACAGTAAACAATTAGTAGGGGAACGATTTTCTTGAGTATGTTTTGAATATGTTGGTGTATTATTTGACTATGTTACTTTTGTTGCCAAAAATCCTCCTGTAGGGGGACATGCCCGACCTAATGCTACAGTCAACCCGCAGAGTAAAGATGCGCGATAAGGATGCAAGGCCCTTGGACGCCCATTTCGAAGCGTTTCGAGCGGGGCGCGGCCAACGAAAGTGTCCAAGGATGGACCCAGGAAGCAAGGATGCAAGGGTACCCTTGGGAGGGATGCCTATCCATACTCTGCGGGTCGACTGTACCACGAGAAGCGTCGAATGTGGAACGAAACGGCTTCCCTGGCCACGGCGAGCCTCGGCCACGAACGTCACTGCACCGACCCTGCAGACGGGCTGCAGCAGACTTTCGCATGGATTTCTGCGAATGCAAACCCCGAAAAGGCGCGCGAAAAACGAAGTGCATTTCGCGTGGATGTTTGTAGCCTTCATTCCTGGCCCAACAAAAGAATCCGCGCGAAATCCACATCGAAATCCGGAGCGGCGATGCTCCAGGACAGTCCGGGCCCATCCTGTCGCTGTCCGAACGAACTCCGCTCTGCGATGTTGGCGCCATGGGAGGAGGAGGAGGAGAAGGAGGAGGAGGAGGAGGAGGAGGAGGAGACGGAGGAGGAGGAGGAGGAGGAGGAGGAGGAGGAAGAGGAGGAGGGCTCCACGACCTAGAGCTGAAGAGCGGCCCGATCACCAGGGCCCCTCCCGAGCCCAGGGAGGCCGGCTGCCCCTGCGTGGATGCGCGGGTCCATTCTGGCACACCCCTCACACGTTTCGCGGCCCCGTGGCAGAAGGGAGCTCCGTCGAAGGCCCTGACGGCTGCGTCCGCGTGGGCCCTTGCTGGCGCGCCTCTCGCGCGCTTCGTGGCCCCATGGGTGCTCTTAGGTCGTAGACTGTCTTAGGAAATCCCCAGCATGTCCTCGGGCGGCCGTAGATTTTCTTGGGAAATCCACATCGTTTCATCTGGAAATGCTTCGCA